CTAGGTGAGGGTGTTTATTTTACAAATGCAGAGATACGTAGGGTGCAGGCCGCTTTGAGCTGGAGGACAAACGGAGGAGTTGGTGCTTTCCTCTATTATTTACTCTACTCTTCATTAGCCTAAATCTTAATATAATTTAAGTATGTATTAGTGTTTAAGTAGTTGTTAAATAATCAACAATAGGACCCATCCTGTGCTGAAAACCTTTTAGGCCTCATTTCACACAGTGTGTTTCTAACAGCACATTTAATGTATTCACACTTAACACTCAGCCTTGCCTACATGATAAAATGGTGTCTTGGGTAAATTTGTACTAAGCACACTAAGCACAGTGTTTTTAAATCTTTTTTGTTGTTTATCTTGAACACAACAATTTCAGTTTTTATGGGTTTCCTTTGTCTTGGTGTTTCTGGCGGTAGCTGCTGCTCCAAGCTTGGCCTTGTTAATAAAAACCTGAGGTGGTTTTTTTTTTTTCCTGTTGTGCCCTGTCAGGGCAGGAGGAGAGATTGTCTTGCCCAGACTGGCAAACAAAGGTCGTCCTTTTCTGAAAGACAGAGCATGGCATGCAGAGATAAGATGAGCCCTCGGTCAAGTTATTGCAGAGCAGATACCTGAAGAGTCCAGTGTCAGAGGCCCGAAAAACTGCCGCCCTTCGTTCTGCACCGAAGAACTCCGGGCAAACAGGAGAAGCCTTCTTTAATAAGCTGAGGGAAATGTGGGTTTGAAAATGTCCAAAAAATGACACATTAAATAGTAGGGTGCCATACAGACTCATTTCTTGGCCAAAATCATAAAATATCTTGCCTTAACTGCAAATTGTGCGCAGACCTCAAAGCCTGTGTTATGCTGGTGTGTGTAATTTTGTATTTGGTCCAGTTTATAATCATAATAGGCCTGGTAGCGTATTTAACCAAATGATTTTAAAAAGGGGGAATTTTTTTTGTTGTTGAAGGATTACATATTTCATACAAATAGTATTTGCTTAATAATATGGATTAATTTTTAGTCTCATAAGAGGTTTCTGTCAGTTTTTTATTCTCTTTTTGTTACATATAAAGAGTTAATGAGTGTTATGTTACTGAAAAAAACGTTTTGTAGTTCCTGGGCTGGAACTACAAAATCATGTGTTGCTAGTTTTAATGGACAAAGGAGAGGTTTGGATTTCCCTGATGGTAATCTTGGTTATTATCATTTTGCTGTCAGTAATGGCATGATGATATTCCAGGAAGTGACAGTAATACTTGGCACATATCACTCCTTTTCTTTGTCTGCGGCCCATTCATCAAAAAAGTCTAGATCCCTTCAGTCTTTTCAAATAAGTGACAAACACACCTCCGTCATTATTCTTCAAAAACAAACACACACACATCCTCCTTTAATACCATTTCCTCATGTTCCTTTTGCACATTTTTTTCTTGCCTATTGCCATCATCTTTCATTCCCACATTTTTTTACCGTGTTCAGTGTGGCTGTGTGAGGCAGGCGTATGTTAGCATGAACAATCGACGGCCGGCCCGGCTCGACCTGGTCCAGATGGGGTCCGTACCCCCCCCAGCAGTAACAGTGATGAGCCAGTCAGGCAGCCAGCTAGCGAGCTAGCTACCCACGCGGGTAGCCAACCAGTCATTTACCCAGCCAGTCATGTCATGTGGCCTCTCAGCCAACCTAACAGTCAGCTCGCCAGCCAGTCAGTGGACCAGCCAGTCGTCCAGGCTGCGGCTCCTCTGTCAGACTCTGACAGAGGGAGCTGGCCAGGCTAAATCTGACGGTCCTGGGAGCCAACCAGAGGACTCTGGCTTTTGTAGGGCGTTCACACAGACAGCCTGTCCCGTTGCACAGCAGGGGGCTTCAACCCACAATCACATGTCCGGGCCCTCAACTTTGCCACATGACAAGTTAGCTTTTTGTGGCTGCCCACTGCAGAGATTCCAGTTTTGACAATGTCTCTATAATTCCTGTGAACCCCGTGGACTAATTCATGTCATTTGGAAAGCATAAATTAACAAATGTGTTTCTTTTTTGTAATTTGGAAGAAGGCTGTTTAAATGTACTTCTAATGAGAAGCGCAGCCCATACGTATTTCCTACGTACGTCTGATTATCGAATTGATCCTTGGTGAGAGCCTTTGTCTCTCAAATATTTGTCCCATGGTGCACTGGGCACAGCTTGTCCCTCTGAGGTCATGTGAGTCAGCCAATGAGGACGAGACAAAGAGCTTGCCAGGGCAACTATACAGCTCTCACTTTCTGCTGCTGTGCAGTCCCAATCATGTGTCATTGTGTACTTCATAATGCAACACGATGAAAGTATGAGCAATTTACTGGCAGCAGTAGGAAAGTATAATTATTTTCACTGTTACAAAGACCCGCACATCTGAATCTGAAAGCATTAGGCTAAGATTTGTGAATTACAGGGAAGCGGTATAGCCTATTTTAGACAGTTTCACTATCCGCTTGCCTTAGTAAACAGCTTAGCATGTATAGGCTACTTACATGAAGCTGTCCACCACAGCATTTTCACCCCTTCATTGTCCACCGAATCCTGTCTCACCCACTAATGGGATTGCGCTATAATATGGTAACAGAAACTTTTAATGTGTTTCTGTGTCTGTGCTGTTGGGGCTTTTAAAGTGGACTTACCAAAAAAATAAAAAAGAGAGGCAGAGAAGGGGCCAGTTTGGATGTGAGAGTGCATTTTGAAACAGGAGAGCATGTTTTTGGATGGTATTTTTTGTTGGGGGGGTTGACGGGCATTTTCTTCCCCCCTCCTCTCTTTGTTTGTGTGGTAAATCCAGGAGCAGCTGCTGGTCTCAGGGTCTAGTGGGATTGTGGGCCTGTGTTTTCTCATGCCATCCCATGCCAAGGTGGTGTAACGCGAGCAGAGAGAGAGGGAGGGGGAGAGAGAGAGAGAGGGGTGTTTCTGGAGGGGGGAGGGAGAGGGCTGTGGGGGTGCAGTTGGAGAGCGAGCTGGTTTGTTGGTATGGCTGTGACCATGCTTGTGACGAAGGTGATGAAAGCAGGGGGGAGGGGTGTAAGGGGGCTTTAGGAGGCGGGTGCTGTCTGGATTGGATGCATGTAAAATTAATATCCTCTGGACTTGCCTTTGCACTAGATTGGAACTTGTCTATTTGGCTAATGACGAGCCTTCTGCCTGCACCACACACAGTCCCCCCCTCCCCTCCCCTCTCTCTCTCTCTCTCTCTCTCTCTCTCTCTCTCCACTACCAACCATCTACCCCCCACCTCTTTGCTTCTCCCTCTGCCATCTCTCTCTTCCCTCCCTTTCAGCGCTGGGAGCGTGCGTATTGGCTGGGCTGTTTGGGACTCGGTGCCAAATAGGTGGGCCCTCTGCATGTTGGCACAGACTCAGTCAATGGTTAGAGAAGGAAAAGTGGAGAGGAAGAGAGAGACAGAGTTGGAGAGAAAGAGGGGGGAAAAAAGAAGCTGCACTCGGGTTTGCCAGCGGTCGTGCACACTCTTCCAACATTGATTCGGTCCTCTTGTTTTTGTTTTTTTTCCTTCCTCTTCTCCTCCGTCCGCACCCCCCTTGTCCAGCTCTCTCTCTCCCTCTCCGCGAGTCTTATGCAGATCCTAGAGAATTGAACCAATAGCACGCGCCGCTTTGCCAAGCTTTTTTTGTTGTTTTTTCATCAAGATATTTTTGTCTTGACATATTTTTTCAAACAAAGAGGCTTGTTGAAGTTTTTGACAATTTTAACCTTTTTGCTGCAATATCTGTTTTATTATTATTCGTGCACATCCAGCTCTGTTTAAAAAAAAACAATCCTTTTAGACAGAGAGATTGCTGAACTTCTCTACACTCTCCTTCTGTTGTGCTCTTGAACGGCACCTCTTCTGCAGCTCCAGCTACAGTACCTCCTGTGTTCCTGTGCTGGTATTACACTGAGCCCCCTTGGCCTGTCTCCTCTTTCTCAGCTTTTTCCCCCCTGCTGCTTTTATTGGACAGTTTCTCAGCTTCTCTTTTTGCTTAATTTTTTTTTCCCATCAGTCGTTTGTTTTCTTATATACGCAGCATTACTTCAGCGCCTTTTGACTCAGCAATCCAGTTACTGTCCTGGTGGTGTATTTTAAGTTTCTTTGCAGTCGGCGGGGTGAATTTATGATGAGAGAGCAAAATGGTAACTACCATGTCATTCTTGTTTGATTCACATATGTTTTATGGTAATGACTGTTATTAGATCATTTTGAGTGCGGACGCACTTATGTTATTTATAGACAAATATTTTATGTTTAATTTTAATAATCAGAATTTGGTAAGTTGGTTGTCTCAAATTATTTCAGTGTTGTATGCGTTTATAATTTGTTATGTCAGTCTATCTTATCAGTCAGTCTGCATTATATTTTATTATTGCTACACGTTTTTACCCTATCCCAGATGTAGATATAAAATGTTTTTATAATTAATAATGTTTTATAGAATTAATACTATTTTTGTCATAGTTTTGTAATGGGTAAATACAATTCTGGAAAATTTAATTTATAACTAATACATTTGTATACATTTCTATTTATTTATTTAGGCAGACATATAAATGTTTCCACAAATATTTTTTGAAGAAAACCTTTACAGTAGATTCTTAATTTCACCTTCTCATCTCTTACCTCTCAATCTATCAGTATTGTGTTGTTCAGTGTTTTGTTTCCTTCAGTGTGATGTGTCTGTGTTAGGTGTTAGGTAGAGAATGTAAAGGATCTCTCTCTCTCTCTCTCTCTCTCTCTCTCTCTCTCTCTCTCTCTCTCTCTCTCTCTCTCTGTGCCTCTCGCTCATTCTCTCCCTCCGCTCACACAGAGCAGGCGCTGCTCCTCCATGCTGCGTGCCGGTGCTAACTGCCTCTCTTCTCTCTTCCCTTCCTCACCCCCACTCCCTCTCTCCCCGTCCTTCTCTCCCCCATTCTCCCCCTCTCACTCCACTGCCTCCTCCTGCTTCCCCCCCTCCTCCCTCTCCTCCTCCACCCTCCCCCCGTCCTCCTCCCTCATCCAGGATGAATTCCACCCCTTCATCGAGGCCCTGCTGCCCCATGTCCGCGCCTTTGCCTACACCTGGTTCAACCTGCAGGCCCGCAAGCGCAAATACTTCAAGAAGCACGAGAAGCGCATGTCCAAGGAGGAAGAGCGCGCAGTGAAGGATGAGCTCCTGGGGGAGAAGCCAGAGATCAAGCAGAAGTGGGCCTCGCGCCTGCTGGCCAAGCTCCGCAAGGACATCCGGCCGGAGTTCCGCGAGGACTTTGTGCTCACCATCACGGGGAAGAAGCCCCCCTGCTGCGTGCTGTCCAACCCTGACCAGAAGGGCAAGATCCGTCGCATCGACTGCCTGCGCCAGGCCGACAAGGTATGGCGGCTGGACCTGGTGATGGTCATCCTATTCAAGGGCAGCCCCCTGGAGAGCACGGACGGGGAACGGCTGGTCAAGTCACCACAATGCACCAACCCTGGCCTGTGCGTCCAGCCGCACCACATCGGAGTGTCCGTCAAGGAGCTGGACCTCTACCTGGCCTACTTCGTCCACACGCCAGGTATGTGGCCAACTGGATACTAGACACTAATAGGGAGGGATGCCAACACACGAACACTTGTCATACATGCCCGTGTGCATGTGCATATAGATGTACACATGCATTTGCATAATTGCACACATGTAGACACACAGAAACACTTGTGTGACAATTATGTGTGATAATTAAATAGAGGGGGAATAACAGAAATAAAAATACATAAAGATAAGCCCAAGTGTAGTAAGTTTCAGAAACACACTAAAAATGTGTTTTCAAATTTAGGAGAAAAATTTATTAATAAATCAATTAATTATAATTAAGCTATATCATAATATTATGTGAAAATTGTGAATTCAGAAAAGTTTTTATTCAACAGTTTTCAGATAAATAAATAAAGCAAACACATTTACCGCTGAGAAATAAAATGGAAATCCCTTCCTGCTTTTGTTCTCTTAGCAAACAGCAAATACTTTTGGTTTTTGTCATTTCAGTATTTTCCTTCTTTTCTTCTGTTTCTTAGTGTTTGTTTACATGACAACTTAGTATCAACAGTAATAAAAAAAATATGTGAGTGTATGTCAAGGGCATCCAGCCAACATGGTCTGGCAAGTACGCATTCATTTTTCTGAGCAAGGCTTTTGCGGGTTCATACTAGCATGTATTTTGTGTATGTTTTTTTTATTTTTTTTATAGGAAGGAATTTGCTTGTGTGTGTGTGTGCGTGTGTTATTTTATGAGATGATCCCCACTGTCAAATTGTGTGTTTTTGTTCAATGAGTGAGAGTCACTGTTTATAAGATTGTACTCAGTCTGTTGAAGTGTATGTGCCACGATAAGGCCATTGTAGCCAGGGATTGTCATTTGGCCACAGCCCAGATTGTGTGTGTGTGTGAGAGAGAGGGAGAGCAGAGCCGTGAGTCTCCTGCGCTCAGGCCGCAGGCTGCTGCCGCCTTCACCGTCTGCCTGAACGCTAGCACCACGTTGGACCTGGCTGCCAAACACACTCAAAACGCCAGTGCTCACAGACAGCCAGTACTATTGCAGCCACCTTCACACCCGTACACACACATACAAACACAGCTAAATAAAGTTACACACATTCGATTAAAAAAAAAAAGAGGGAAAAAAAAAAGACAAACAACTCTTGTCATCTTTGTAGCGCACTTTCACACGTAGAGCCAAACACGGTTTTAGTCACGATTGCGTACACACACCCACACAGCGCGCACTCTTGGCCAAAGACTATCATAGATACAATTTGATACAGCCAAACATTGTTGTATCTCAGCCACCATCATGGATACACACACTTGCACTCGGCCAAACATCGCTGTAGCCTCCAGTGCGTGTACTCTACGCACACAGCCAAAACACTGGCTGTGTTGTAGTTTTTTCCCCCACATTGCAAAAAACACTGTCACAGCAACCACACACACGAAACACATTTCACAGCCAAATCCTCCAAATACACACCACTTCACCATTTGCTGGCTACGTATACATACAAACACACGCTCATGACCTAATATTATCTCAGCTGGAATTTTCTGGAAATTTCAAACAGTGACTCAGCCGGCTTCTCACACACACAAACACACGCACAGGCACATATATATACAGTATACCCCAGCCACTGCTCCAAATGCACACACTCATACTCTGCCTAGGTGGAACTCTTATGGTAGCCGCTAACAGGAGTATGGCCAAATGCTATCACAGACGCCCCTCAGTATCTCTCTCTCTCTCTCTCTCTGACACAACACACACACACAAAATCTCAGTCCAGGCCAAACACCTCACGCTGCCCGAGCCAAACCCTGGCAGCAGCTCCAGCTTCACTCTGTTGGTCTGTCTGTGGCGGTGATAAACCGTAGGTGTCTCAAATATGATTGTTTGATTAAAAATTTTTCACCGACTGTTATTGCACAATAACTATTTTCTGCTCAGTTTATTATGAAGTTTACAGCACTGATAAAGACAATTTTCCTTTAAATAAAACCCTTAGCCTATATAAAATAATGATATTGTGTTTGTTTAAATTTAACTCAGGATACGTGTTCAGAAAATTTGTAAATTAAATGATAAACCAAATCTAGAAATATGTTGCCATATAGTTGCATTTTTAGTTTTGAAAGGGAAATTATTGGTGTTTGGTATTTTAATCAATATAATTAAAGCGGTTATATAGGTCAAAGTTTCTTTAGACCTAACAAATTTTCAAAACTTTTTGTAAAGGCAAAACAGTTCTCCTACTATGCTTCATGTGGAAACAAATCGTAGTCCGCTTAACAGCTGTAGATATTTAATTTGTGGTAATATATACTATAACTGACATGAAGTCCTTTTCAAAATAAAAATGAGAGAGGGATCACACAGATCACGATGTTTTCAGCTTGTTGCTGCGCACATGTCGCTACAGTACTGGTTTACTGCAGTACAGTAAAACATATGGCTGCTTGGAGGGGCTCCCCAGTCCGCTGCTCATTCATAATGTGGACTTATCTTATCTGGCTAACACAGTGTGCTTCAGTACTTTTACCTGCCTCCAACGGGCCCATGCTCAATTAAAGTCCTGGTTGTAGAGATACTTTGGGGTCTACAAACACAGAGAAAGGGACAGAGGGAGAGACAAAGGGCAAACCACTGTTTGCAAACCTGTCATGAGGTCGCCACTGTTGGCACACTTGGCCCTCATTTTTCACCCTTACACAAGTTATAAATGCGAGCAAACAGGCATAAAGGCATGCACATTTACATCACATTTATCTGGTACAGTGATGTGCTGTTGTGTTTTTTTGCCTCAGTCACACAATAAATGACAAGATGTGCTCATTGTTTGTTTTTGTTTGGTTTGCGTTTTGTCAGTATTTAGCATCTCTGTCTTCCTCGCTCCTGTTTGATCCCGTGCACACTTTTGTTTTGTCTCCTTAAACATCGCCCTCATTGTTGCTCTCACAGAGGTAAAGCCTCTGCTGATCTCTTTTGTTTATATTGTAGGAGACACAGAGAGAGAGCGAGTGCGTTGGAAACGAGAAGAGGCTGCGATAGTGATTGTTCTGTTTGGCAGCGCCCGAGCCCCGTTGGTGTGGGAAGAAGAGAAAGACGTCTTGTGTTTTGTTTATGACAGAGTGGCAAAAGCTGCCACGGGGAATCTCTGGGCTTGCTGTCAGGCTTTCTCAGGCTGTTCTGCAGCCAGCCAGCCTTTGAGATCCTCTCTGTTACAGAGCATAACACACTGCAGCCGTAACAGAACAAACCACGCTGCCACAATACACAACCTTCTCCCCTGTTTTCCAGGCACCTCAGATAATAAAGAGCAACAAACCAGACAGGGCAACGTTTCTTTGAACATTGTAACTGAAATGCTGGCAGAGAATTGAGGAGACGGGAAGAGTGGCTATGGTGCAGTGCAATGAGTAGTGCATTATTTTTAGTGTTTTATTAGGAGTGAGTGAGTGGTATCATAATGGAGATAGTGGCCCTTGGCCCAGAAGAGCCAAAGGTCTGCCAAAGCAACACACACTGGCAGGGTCCCTCTTATAACCCATGAATGGAGTGTGTTGTACAGGCTTAGTTCACAGTACTGGTTTAGATGTCTGACTACTGCATAGGTGGGTCCACTTGTATGCCATCTGAGGAGAAATCATTAAGCTGCTTCTCACAGTGTTCAGCTGACTGTTTGATTTATAACCTTTGTGCTGTTTTAGCTTAAACTCAGCACATTTCTGATTTATTCAAGGTTGGAAAAATGGAAGATTAAAAAAAAAACATTTGTGAGGTCCAAAGTTAGCTCAGCGCACTTAGTCATATTTTGGACCTAATTCCTACTACTTTTTATTTTATTTTTTTCTTACTTTTCTTTCCTTTGTATGTCATAAGTGTGATCATGAAAAGATGTTTCAAATGTGTTTCCAATCAAAAGTGCAGTACAGGAAATTTGCAGTCACTCCGAGGGAGGTGTGAAATGTGCTCGCCGTGCCATTTCTGCCATGACCGCTCCACACTCCACGCTCCACGGTGCCAGATCCCGCCTCCCTCTCGCTATAGCACTAGTAATGCCTTGGACGGCTCTGTGAGAAAGCCCAGAGAAACCCTAGCGCTATGGCCACCCCCCATCCCCTTCCCAGCCAACTCACTGACCACAGGAAGGATTCACAAATAAAAAACCCACTTGTGTTCATCACTGAGGAAAACTCTCTGTGTATTCTGGATTTATGAGGGGGAAAGAACAGATATGTGGAAGAAAGAAGGGGGAAAGTAGGAACAGGGGATAAAGATAGAGTAAAGCTGAGAAAAAGAGAGGCATCCGGACAGTCATGGCTGACATGATGAATGGCTCGCAACATGTTACTCTGATGGATTCCACAGGTTCCCACTGCTCCGTGGCTCAGTATTCCCTTTTTTTCCCTGTGAAAATAATCTGTTGTTAATTACTTCCTGGATCTCTTCTCCGGCTCCCATGACATCACAAGGGTTGAGGGGACTGTCCTTGTGTGTGTAAGTGTTTTTGTGTGTGTGTGTGTGTGTGTGTGTGTGTGTGTGTGTGTGCAAAGCTCAGGATGACCCTCTGCAGTGAAGTAAGCATTGAGTTTTGATTAAATGAAATCTCGACACTGAGGGAGTCGGTCTGAGGCTTTTGTATTGTGTGTGGTGGGAACGGGGCCCACGCCGGCTAAGAAAAGCTCTCCACACGCAGAGCGGCTTTCGCATCCGTAAACGTTCGCGGATGGCCCTCGCTTAGCTGGGCTTGCATCGTCTTTTGTGCATCTCTGTCTTTCTGCTTGGCATCAGAGGCATATAGAGGTGGCTACATATCAAATCTTAAGGGTTAACATGGAGGGAGAGCCCCATCACATTAGAGAGACGGAGTGAGAGGGAGTCTTCTCACACTATTCTTGGCTTCAGAAAAAAGTCTGTGTATTTGGGTAGCTAATGGTATCAGGCTAGCCAGAGCCCTGTTGTGTGCTCATTCGCTCCAGAACATGCTCACACACACACAGAGAGACGCGAGGCAAACATTG